AGAAAAGAAAAGAAACAATTCCTATAAGAATAGAGTAATGTTATTTGTACATCATGTGCTATAGATTAACGTACAAGATGATGACATGGAAAAGAGAGAAAAAAAGAGAAGAAAGAATAATTCTTAAATCAATCTATAATATCATGAATCATTCTACGTAGCTGTTGAGATTGCAACCTTAATTTAGTAGAGCTAGATGATATATTAAATGAAATGTGAAATTATACTTATCATTTAATAGCATATTAACGCTACTTAGATCGGAGTTGCAACCCATTAGAACTAAAAACCATTACGCTTGCCCTCGTTTGGCCTCTTTATTTGTCATTATTTGAGATTATAAATTTTTGAATAATGTTTTTTTTGAAAATGTATAGTTAAAAAAATGAAAAAAATTTGGATTTATATGTGATATTATTTTATTGGATAATGTGTGATTTATTAGAAGAGAGAAAAATGAATTATAATTTTAGAGCCTGTTTGGTACAGATTCTTATTTTCTACCGTAAATCAATTCTTATTTTCAATCACATATTTTTCAATAAAATAATATTTTTCATCACATCAATACTTTTTTCTTCTTTTTCAACCACACATTTCCCATCATATCACTATTCAAAAATCAATTATTCCCCCCAAAAATCCCTACCAAACACACTTTTAATAAGGTCAACCGTGGTGTAATATCATTAGTTAAAAAAAATATATATATGACGAGATAAATTCCTTGAGAAATGGATTCTAGAGTGTTCGAGTGTACGAGCAAGCAGAACCAATCATGGAGCAGGACGGATCGACGGCTGTGATGAAGTGGAAGCTTCAAGAGTAAAGGTGACCGTTATTCCATTCTGTGTCCCACCAACCCGCTTCCTAATACAATAAATTGTTTTACACTTCAGTAAACCCTAGCTATTATCTCACCACTCAACAGTTTCTGCTTCTGGATAAAACCCGTCCCTGCACCATCTTCTCTTTTACACCAACAAAAACCCCAAATTCTTATTGTAAGTTATTAATCAAAGTTCTCTATTCATTAAATGGATTTTTTTTTTCAAAGAAAGGTCGTTAAATGAAATGGATAACATCTGGATTCTTTTTATATGTGTTTCCTGTAATTGCATTTATCATTCACTTTTTCATGTTTAGTAATTTTGTTTTTATGTTGAACACGGTGTGTTTCAGAAATATGGCTTCTGGGTTTTGTTTGTGATTTCAAGTTTGTGGGCATACGATATTGATTGGAAGCGATGTCTTTATTTGTAATGAAGAGAAAAGCCGTGATTGTTTATAATGTCGGGTTCTTTTCGTGAATTGTTATGTTGGATATCTCAAGCTTTTGAGACAAATCTCGAGGGTGCAAGCTGGAATTACTTCGACAGCTCTTGACTTAGGCCTCCGTTTCTATGAAATTGAAAAAGTTAACTCTAGTCTATATTCAGTTCGAAAACTAATGTATATAGTCAAATCTTCTAAAAATCCTTTGATTGTTATCATTTTGAGGATTTTACCAGCAAAGATTTAGAAAGTCCTTTTTCAAAATTTCCTTGTCACAAAACTTCTCTCTCCTGTCTTTGCTCGGTTGCAGTGAATACACTATATCTTCTGTTCTTTTCATCCTTCGTTGTGAAAATTTTATCCTAATTCCTGAAATTCTCTTTGGAAGCTGCTAAATCTGTTGTCTGTATTATGTTTTAGGAGCAAATGGCATCAACTTTTACTGGCATCTCCTCAGTTGGATCCTTGGCTGCTGCCAACTGCCGTGATCACAAACTTGCAACTTCTTCAAACAAGTTGTCATCTTTGGCTTCTATAACTTCAAGTTCATTTGGAAGGAGAAAGAATATTGTTCTCCAGAAAACCTCCTCTCCCCAGATAAGAGCAGCTGCAAAGGAATTGTATTTCAACAAGGATGGATCGGCTATTAAGAGATTGCAAGTGAGTCGGTGAACCTGGTGTTTATGTTACTGTAATGTTTCAAATTTCACTCTGTGCGGTGCAAGTTTTGACGGTGGTTTCTCTTGTTTAAGATTGGTGTGAACAAGCTTGCTGATTTAGTTGGTGTCACTCTTGGACCTAAAGGCAGAAATGTGGTTCTAGAGAGCAAGTATGGTGCCCCAAAAATTGTCAATGATGGAGTTACAGTGGCTAAAGAGGTATACTGACTTTTGAATAATTTCATTGGCAGGATACATGTGGTTGCTAGATGGGCTACTAGCATAAACATGTGTGGGTATTTTAATTTATAACTACTTGCCACAAACACTTCGTTATCCAATAATGATATATTTTTGAAGTTTGCTGAGTTACAGATATTTCTACCATTGACTTGTTACGCATTTACTGATATTTTTTTTGACTTCGTATTATCCAACATGTGGTGTTCTGATAATTTGTGTATTATTCGTGCTGCTTCATTTGGGTTACTAAGTCATTCATTTTCCTTGAATAACACCACACGTCGTTGTGAAATTGTCCCAGTGCTTTGCTAGTTCCATCTTCATCTCCTGTGATATATCAGGTTCCATTTATAAGAACACATTGTTCATGATTCTTGAGCAGGTTGAGTTGGAGGATCCAGTTGAGAACATTGGTGCTAAACTGGTGAGGCAAGCTGCTGCGAAGACTAATGACTTGGCTGGGGATGGGACGACAACATCTGTTGTTCTTGCACAAGGTCTCATTACTGAAGGTGTTAAGGTATGTTTATCAAATGGTATACAGTTGAATCTCCTCTGATGGGTTTGGGAAATTAATCAGATTTCTAATTCTGCGTGTCAGGTGGTGGCAGCTGGTGCAAATCCCGTCCTTATTACCAGAGGAATTGAGAAAACCTCCAAAGCCTTAGTGTCTGAGCTCAAGTCAATGTCAAAAGAGGTACCTTGTCAGTTAATAGTTTCCCAAGAAAATATCGGGCATAATTTTATTTTGGAGTTGTGTTTGCTTATACCTTGATGCTCTGTTGCTTTAGTTACTAAATGCGGTGCATTGTTTCGCAAATGAGAAATTATAGGTGGAAGATAGTGAACTGGCTGATGTTGCTGCTGTAAGTGCTGGGAATAACTACGAAGTAGGAAACATGATTGCTGAAGCTATGAGCAAAGTAGGCCGGAAGCTGGGAATAACTACGAAGTAGGAAACATGGTTGCTGAAGCTATGAGGAAAGGAGGCCGGAAGGGTGTTGTGACTCTTGAAGAGGGAAAAAGTGCCGAAAACAATCTGTATGTTGTGGAAGGAATGCAGTTTGATCGTGGCTACATCTCTCCTTACTTTGTTACCGACAGTGAGAAAATGTCTGTTGAGTTTGAGAACTGCAAGGTAGGCATTCTTATTCTCTCCTTTTGGGAATAATTGATACTGTTTTCTAACTTTTGATTTGTTTGCATAGTTACTACTCGTTGACAAGAAAATAACAAACGCAAGGGATCTTATTAACGTATTGGAAGATGCTATTAGAGGTGGGTATCCTGTCTTGATAATTGCTGAAGATATTGAGCAAGAAGCTCTGGCAACTCTGGTGGTCAACAAGCTAAGGGGAACCTTGAAAATTGCTGCTCTCAAAGCTCCTGGTTTTGGTGAAAGGAAGAGTCAGTATCTTGACGACATTGCAATTCTAACTGGAGGTAATTTTTTAATTTCCTTTTTTCTGTTGCTCAGTGGCTATTCCTTTTGGTGTTGTCAGAGCTTGTGCATTTATCTATCAACTTGTTTGGCGCACCCTCTTCTAGTTATTCATATTTTAGTTAATTTAGTTTTTCTCCTTGGCATGTAGCAACTGTAATTAGGGAAGAAGTTGGGCTTACCTTAGACAATGCTGACAAAGAAGTTCTGGGCACTGCTGCAAAGGTGGTGTTGACCAAGGATGCTACGACAATTGTTGGTGATGGCAGCACTCAGGAAGCTGTAAATAATCGAGTTGCACAGATAAGAAACCTTATTGAGGTGCGTTTGTTTCTCCTTTAGCCTGCATTATTGTATTGACAGGTTCACAGTCCTTGTTCCTGACCTATTCTTGATCAAGCAGGCTGCAGAGCAAGATTATGAGAAGGAAAAACTGAACGAAAGAATTGCAAAATTATCAGGAGGTGTAGCTGTGATCCAGGTAACTTTTAAGTAAAAGTGAAATTTGCAATTTTAATTTATCAGAAAGAGAATTACTTCAATGATGGCATTGGTGATTTGCTATTGCAACTTGAAGGTTGGAGCTCAAACTGAAACAGAGCTAAAAGAGAAGAAGCTTAGAGTAGAAGATGCTCTTAATGCAACAAAGGTAAGCTACTGGTGGAGCTATATGGTTCAATTTACTAGAAAATTTTATTTGGTGAACGTGGTAGAAAGAATGCACCCCTGAGATATGTGATTATGTATGGCTTACAGGCAGCTGTTGAGGAGGGAATTGTAGTCGGAGGTGGATGTACTTTGCTGAGACTAGCATCCAAGGTTGATGCCATTAAGGAAACCCTAGAAAATGATGAAGAGAAGGTAAAAAATCTGGGTGTATGATTTGAACTATTCAAGTTCAATTTAGTGTTTACTTAAAAGTTGTGTACTATTGCAAGTTGATACTGGTTAACATTATGGGAAAGTCCATGATATGCTTTGAAGATTGTTAATGATGTTTTATGTTAGAACTTGATAATTGTTTTGTTTGCTGATTATTACTCGAAATGCTACTAAAATGCAGGTTGGAGCAGATATTGTGAAAAGAGCTCTGAGTTACCCTCTGAAGTTGATTGCGAAAAATGCTGGTGTGAATGGAAGTGTTGTTAGTGAGAAGGTATATGAATTATTGGGCTTTCGTTGCTTACGTTTGCTGATTGAGAAACTTAAAAAACTTAATCGTTTTCTGTGCACTAGTGGTACATATTTGCTTGTATTGCTTTTATTGTTGTGAATCGTGATTAATGTGGTCAAATTTTATGACTAATATGACATTTCTGTTAAATTATTATCCTTTCAGGTTCTCTCTAGTGATAATCCAAGATATGGATACAATGCTGCCACCGGAGAGTATGAAGATTTAATGTCTGCTGGCATAATTGATCCAACCAAGGTGATATGATGTGAATATTTTCTTTCTGAAGCTAAATAATCTTGTAAGGAAATTAGGAAATTTTTATCTTTATTTTATGCTTATGGCTGTAGGAGCTTTACACATGTTATTTCCTTTCTTCTTTTTTCTTTTCTTTTCTTTTCTTTTTCTTGTTTGGGCACGTGGGCAGTGGGAATGGTTTCTAGAATTTAGAACTTGAAGTTGTGTTGGGGAGGATATTGACCTTTGATGATAGTTATTAAGCATGTGATAAATGGAAAAAATGGATTATGGTGATCTATGTTCCACATGTGTGATTTGTTATGCTGGTTGGAGCCATCCTGTAATGGTATTATTTGGCAAATATTAGAGTTTTATTAGTATATTGCCAGTAAATATGAGTTCAAATAGTAAAAAAAGTCACCAACACAGTTTTGAAGCCTAACGTTGGTACTGGTATGACTAGGAGAATATCTAAAACGAGCAGGGTTTGACATCTTGGTCACTATTATGCATTTGGTTGCTGGGTGATTTAGCAGTTTCTATGTTGTGTAGGTGGTCAGATGTTGCTTAGAACATGCAGCATCAGTGGCCAAGACATTCTTGATGTCCGACTGTGTAGTTGTTGAGATCAAGGAGCCCGAACCAGTTCCTGCTGTGAACCCAATGGACAACTCAGGTATATTTACTTGTTCTACCTCAATCCCCCCAACTGCAGTTTACTTTCTTCCATTTTTAGCGGTACTGAGGTATTTTATGATCTTGCCAGGATATGGTTACTAAGTGAACTGGGATTTGAGAACTGCTGCTGGATATTTGAAGTTGATCTACGCGCCATATGTATATGTTGTCAACAGATTACAGTTCAAGTTGCTGGAAGAGGACCTTTAGTTTTGTAAAATTAGCTACTTATTGTTAGGGAGATCCACCAAGTTTGGATACGGCTTATTTCCGACTTAACAATCCTACTTGTAATTGTTGCGATAATGAATCATAAATGTAACCTTATTTGATTGCGAGTTTCTGAGGCATGTTTTGCTAGGTAACCTTTGGAGATGGGGATAATATGTGCCAATAACTGCGAAAGATAGGGACGTTATAAGCAACACCCTTCTAACACAACGCAGTCTATATCAAATAGGCTACTATACCTCCATTTAAAATGTTCATATTCATCTAATATGAGTAGGACGTATTATCTCCACATATCAGGGACACATTGTCGCACAAGGCGGAAAAGCCACGTCCTCCATTTCGCATTTCAGATTGGCATTGGCGTTCGTATTTAAGGAAACATCTTTCAGAGTTTGTTTCTATTCGGTGAAGTCTTCATCTCAATTTGAATTTCACAACATTGTATTTGTTCTTTTTCCGTGAAAAAAGGTAAGCACCATGTCGACGGGCACCTCGATTGCTGCTTGGCGTGGGGGTAGTGCAAGTCATTTTCAGAAGAGGTGAACGATTTTTGAGAATCTGCCAGATGTTTTTAATTAATCTTTAACTCCTTCAACTCCGTGATCGACAGAGCTACCGTTGATTCACAGTTAATTAAACGACGTCGACTGTGGCTTCTCTGTGTTGTTCATCACCATCTTTGCCCAGAAATTGAATCATTAGAATTTCTGCCATGGAAGGATTGCAGCTTTACAAGTAAAGCCTCGCATGCACTATTTCATTTTCTTCTATTCTAGCTATATACCTCGTGCGATCCTATGCTACGACCCGTCTTTCTCTTTGTTTCCCAATTTCACTGCATTGTTGACTTGATTCAGTCGAGTGATATGATCGAGCATGAGGGAAGAAAACCTCTTTTTTGAACCTTTAATATTATGAATTTGAGCTCTAACAGTTTGAAGTGCTTGAATTCTCGGTTACACGTACATTCAGACTTAGTTGGGATTCCAAGACTAACTTGGCCAGTGATAATTGTTAATGATGTAGTTCTTTAGATCCCCAAGTAGATCTAGCTGGGAGATCTAAAGTGACAAACAGAATAGGCAAAGTTTCACTGAACTTGGTTACATTGTTTTTTCTTGTAATAATTGGGTGAAGGAATGGCAAGTACGAAGAGGCACCGGAGAAATTTGAGTAAGTTTTGGGATCAAAACCAGAGCCAAATGAATCAGCTGTGGCGAGTTACAATGTAGCATGCTGTTATTCAAAGCTTAATCAGGTAAACAATTGTTCAAACCAATTATGAATTGAGTCATTTACTGGTTCTTTACTTGTGCATATGTATGATTTTTCTCTCTCCCTTGAGGCTGGCTTAGCTTCCAATTGAATTAGCACTCAGCACGATATATACCAAGGACGACAAAATTTCCATCTAAGAATGGTGCATGGCATCCCATTTTGCTCTTATTGTAGTTAAACATATTTTCACTTGGCCTGTGGGTATGTACATATTGAGCAATTATCTGCCTTTTTCACGTTTTCTTCTGTCAATCCATCACCTTCTTTTATACTTATCCCAGGTACAAGCTGGCCTGTCCGCCTTAGAGGATGCTCTGAAAGGCGGATTTGAAGATTTTAAGGTAAGTTACCAAAGATTACATTCATCCCCAATATGTTTAGCCTAGTTATCAAACTTCTTTCTTGTGATGCCATTTTGACAGAGAATCAGGACAGATCCTGACCTTGCCAAAATAAGGATATCTGAGGATATCGAAAAGGTTATGAAGAAGTTTGATGAAGCGTTTATCAGTGAAAACGCTATCGATGCTATCAAATCAATATTCGGTATATCTATCAAGCAATAAACACAGCAATCTAAACCAATACATTGGAGGAGAGTGGGCTTAGTTTTCGAATGAGCTCCCAATCTCCTATTGGACCTGGCATAAGGAGGTTCTCATTATGTTATTTTGCGTATTAAGAACACTAGCTCAAGATCATTCTTGAATGACACTAAATATTATCTTGGTTAGTGATTGGTTGTTTCAATTGTTTTATAATTTAGTCAATGATGTAATTACGCTCACTTGAAGACTAAGCCCCCGTTTGATCTACATTATTATCTCATTAAAATGAAAAATATGACCGTTATCCATCATATCAACATTTAAATTCAAATTTTCTATCTCTTGTGTGGACCCCAATAACGACTATATTTTTCATTCTCGCTCTATAATAATTTGGCTCAAACATGGCCTAAAAGAAGATAGTGAGTCTTCAATTTTAACCATAATCATCTTGAAAAGAATAATAAAGTTGGAATTTTAATTCTTGATTCCAATTCTTAACATGAATATCAGTACACAACCAAAATTTACTTCTGGGGAATTTAGTGGAAATTTAGAGTTGACAAACTTTTACCTACTAAAATTCCATTTTAGCTAGGTGGAAGATTACCTATTGTGTATCAATACACTTGAATTTCTCAATCTTGACAGAAGTCCAATTTGACCTAGCTAGTGCTGTTACCTAATACGCGGGATTGATATATATTTCTCCATATTAACTCTCCAATTTTCTTCAAGTAATGCAATGAAGCATCAACATAAGAAGCCATAACATCTAGGGCTTATGAGGATGAAGATGAACTGGAAGTCCTTCGACTGGGGTGGGCATATGATGTATTCTACTTTCTCATCAGGAATCAGTGAATCCCATCGAAATCTCTTAACTATGTTGTGCAGGAATGTAAGAATATACAGTCTAGTAAACTCTTTACCCAAGCACATCCGAGGCCCTCCTCCAAATGGAACATAAGAAAATGGAGTAGGTCCTGCCCTTTCATAGCTCGATGGATCAAATTTTATGTTCTCTTGAAACAAGCTAGAAAATGTATTTGTTAATAAGGCCTTCCAGTATAACTGTTGCAACAGCATAATTAGCTCATGAATCAAGAGTTCAAACGGAATAGGCTCTGCTTGACAAGGCTTCTACTTCTGCTTGTATTTCTTGTAGTAGAGTTTCCTTAGAAACCTACTTTAAACTAGCTTCCTCTAAAAGTTCATTTTTAGCCAAACAAAGCACTTCCAAAAAATTATCCTAACATGTTTAAAAGCATTTTCTTAGTTTCAGAAACAACTTTTGACTTTTCAAAAGCACCGTCAAACGGGCCCTAAATTACTATTAGGGAAATTCTTGAAATTCTTTTTTACTCGTGAAAAAATGGGAAAGAAAATTCAGATGTCTTGGAAAATCTCATAAAAGTGTGAATAAATAAGAGAAAAATTGAAGTACCTTCCATCCCCTGGGAATGTGGTAAACTGCATACTTAAATGACCAGTGCATCTCTAAAAGCACCTATTGTGGGTGGTGATAGTCTCATAGTTTTAGACACTACATTCCATGAGTACCTCATCTTCTGTATATCCTCACTGTAAAAATTCCCCTGCTTTGTAGGATAATGCAATTTCACCTTTGTCTGATTTGAAACATAAATCGTTAGGCATAGTTATGGCAACAAGGTGAAACGAAGGGTATGTACATTTACCTCTAAATACACTTTCATAAGTTCAAGGAAGTTGTCCAAGATTCTTCATCAGCATAGTTATGGCAACACTAGAAGTGTTGTGACCAGCAAAGAATAGCATCAATATATTATTAAAGATAACTGATTCACACATAAGCTTGCGATTTTCATCAGGACGGGCTAGTAAATCTGATAAAAGATCCCGTTCCAAGGTTGCTCTCCTGTTTCTGAATATTGTTTGTACTTGTTTCTTTATAGCAATTGTCGCTCTCTTTTCATTGAAAATTCTTGTTCCCCGGGAAGTTAACAGGGGCTGAGATTATTCCCTTCAAGAAAACATTAAACAGGACATCAAGTTTGACAATTTGGTGAGGGCCTTCAAGGCTCATAAACAAATGACATGCTACTTCAGTCATATATAGTTTGATGGTTGGGAACACCTTTACCTCTTCTTTACATTCATGTACACAAAAACATGTATTGTAATGGTCATGAGAAGCTTAATGTATAAAATAGAAGGAATTTAAAAAGACCAAATAGTCATATATACCTTGCCAAGTATCAATATGATGCTGGGCTACGGCGTTCATAGTTTTAATGTAGAACCTCGTGAATGCGTCAGGAATGATGAAACGAGATAGCATCTTCTCATTTGCTTCCCAATGTTCAAGAAGCTTCCTAACAGAGGTAGGCCACCAAATTGTGACCAGATTATTCTCATTAGTAAACAGAAACTTGTTCGGTTGTTCCCGTCAGGGCCACACAAAACTGCTACAGGCTCACTCATAAGTGAAGTCTTGAACACCTCAGGAGACAGGTACTCTATTCTCTTTCATTTATTCTACTGGTACCCCATCCATGCCCGCTCCAGGAAATTCAAATGTTTCACCAAGAATTGGCCATCCATATTGCTTTGCTGATAAAAACATTAATGAGCAAGAATAAAAGTACTGTTACAAAAGCTGTGATCATGATCAAGGATTAGTAGGAGACCGGAAGAAATGACAGATTCAAAAGCAAAATTCTATCTAGCTCCGGCCCTTAATATGTTTTAAGACTATATTCATTTGTTTTATTTATCTGATGCTTAACACGTTTCGCCTAAATCTCCAACATGAATCTATCCTCGACTACTCAGTTGAAGACTTGTTGTATACTCCCTTCAGCCTGGATCTACATTTTACCACCGGTTCGCTAATTCAAATTCATGAATTCATCCTACAATGGAAAAAATATCAGTCCACGTCTACTAATAAATAAATAAAAACAACAAAATTACAAGAAATTCTAAATAAAACATATCCCAGTATTCTTAACTCTGTCGAAGAAGACCCCAACTTTTTACCTATTAACTTTTGTTCTTGGCGAACAGGATTGACATACGATGTTTGGCATCCAAATTTTGCCCTCAGCTATCACAACCGTTTACAAGATCAACTGAGGTGCATAGCCAATCAGCTTAAGTTGCAAGTCTAACACATCCAGTAGAGAGTAAATTTCTCCTGATGCTGGATGATAATTATCACACGCAGAAAACTGGTGCGTCTTTTTGTCCACTTCTATCCAGCTTGAACCAGGGCTTCTCTTTTCTACTCCATGTTCCTTCATGATTGTCCTAATTCTTGCAACTTCATGCCATCGATTTGCTTCAGCATACATGTTAACTAAAAGGGAATAATATCCACTACTATTATTTGACTCCAACACTATCAATCTATCAACAGCAAGTTGAGCAATCTCCAAATTCTTGTGAAGCTTGCAACCGCCTAATAAAGCACCCCAAACGACAGAATTGGGATCCATTTTCATGCCTCGTATCAATTCTAGTGCTTCTTCGAGCAAACCAGCTTTGCAAAAGAGATCAATCATGCATCCGTAGTGTTCAATCTCAGGAAGGATTCCATACTTGTGTCTCATGTTAAAGAATCTCCTCTGGCCTTCTTCCACAAGTCCTGCATGAGTACAAGCACTGAGAATACTAACAAAGGTCACGCCATTTGGTTTGATCTTCTCCTTCTCCATTCGGCCAAACATCACTAATGCTTCTTCAGCATGCCCATGAACTGCAAGCCCATCAATCACAGAATTCCAGCAGAAAAGATTTTTCTCCTGTAACTTGAAAAATACCACAAGTGCCCTATCCAAGACCCCACACTTTGCATACATATCAATCAATGCAGACCCCATATAAACATCAAGATCAAACCCGCTTTGCATAGCATATATGTGTATTTCCTTCCCTTGGTTCAGTGCCCCAAGATGCGCACAGGCTGATATTACAGTTGACATGGTCACTTCATCAGGTCTAACTTCTTCATTCTTCATTTCATAGAAAAGCTCTAAGGCTTTGCTATATTGCTTGCTTTTTGCGTAACAATTGATCATTGTTGTCCATGAAATCAAATCCTTCTCGAGCATCATATAAAACAACTCCTCAGCAGAGTTAACATCGCCAACTCTCGCATATCCATGAATCATGGTATTCCATGCAGCAGTATTTTTCTCGGGCATCTCATCAAACAACCTCCTTGCTGAAGCCAAATCCCCAATGCCTGCATGACCTGCAATCATTGTAGACCAAGCGAAACCATCTCTTTCGGGCATTTCATCGAACACCATCCTTGACTCATCAATCCTACCGAAACTCGAATAAAAATCAATCAGTGCAGTTAGAACATGAACGTGCGATGGGAACCCATATTTCCAGACCTGCCCATGAACACTTTCCCCAAATCCAACAGCAGATAAAACTCTACAGCTCTTAGTTACTGCCGGGAACGTATAACTACTTGGATATACAGCATTCCTCAGCATGTCAATGTAGTACTGTAAAGCTTCAAATGGGCGAAAACAATTTACAAAGGCTCCAAGTATTGCATTGTAAACGAATACATTGGGATTTTCCATAAGAGAAAAGGCAAACATGGCCGAATCTATACTGCGAAAAGTGGAACAAGCAGTAATGTATTGGTTTACCAAGAAGCAATTTTGAGTTGCGTCATTCTTGATCATCATTGCATACAATGATTCCACCTCTTTTAAATTTGAACATCTTTTCAAACGATCGGCCATTTCTGTGACTGTTAATCTTGGGCCTACAAACACACTTAAAATCAGTAAATGATGAATAACTACACCTTTAAATTGTTCACAAAGAAAAATCAATCATTGAACATTTGTAATGATGATTGAGAACAAAGATTGATGATATCTAAGTAGGAGAGAAGTTAGACTTACGATTAACAACGAAGAATTTCATACGAATTGTTTTCAGAAAATGGTACAATCACAAATTTTATCGGTGAAAAATGGAAAAAATACTCAAAAAAATGATTGTACGAGGTAACTGGGGGGAATTTCTAAAATTTCAGAAAATGTTATTGTTTCAATTCAGTGTTTGGGCCTTTTTTTTAAAACAATAGGGCCCAATTCATTGGCCAATTTGCAACCCATTAGCCACAAACAAAACCAAATCCAAGATTGTAAATCCCCAATTCCAAAATTGAAACCCAACAAACCGTAGAGGAGGGAGACGACCGGCGATTGGCTGCTGTGCTGCTGCTGTGCTGCTGCTGTGCTGTGCCTGTGCGTTGCTGTCTCAATGACAATGCCACAGAGTTGGGACTAAAGGATTGGGTTAGGAACAAGAGGGATGGTTCGGTTGAGGCTTTATTTTCCAGTATTCCAGTGAAGGTTCAGGAGATGGAGCAGCGATGCCGGAGGGGTCCACCAGACGCAATGGTCCCTGGTCTTGAGGTCTTCCCTAGCACTGATGATCCCGGTACCAAATTTGAACGCAAACCAACTGTTTGATCAAATGATTTATCGGTTGAATAGTAATATGAATGTGATATGAAGTACGAACAATTTAATATGCATAATGTTTTGTTCGCTGACATATATGAATGCGTTGTTAGTATTTCGTATTCTTTTGAATGGCTTTATGTTTGGCTATGATTTCCTACTTTTACGTTTAAGAGATATTGTATTTATCTAACAGATTCAGGATAGTTGATTTCATTGTTTGCAACTAAAGTTTCAATATGTTACATGAGAAATTTTGAGGAAAAGACTAAGATAAAGCTTGTGCACTGCCCTCTTATTTTTTTTATTTTTTCCTTTTGTGAAAGAGGGTGTATTCCATCTAGGTTGTCATTGAAGTATTAACATAGAACTAAAGCAATATAATTTGTTTACTAGTAAGAAGAAGTATTAATGGCAAATGTTCGTAAGCAAATGTGTTAATAAACAAGTAGAAATTAGTGAGATAAGTGGGTAGTGTTAGGGGAAATTACACTAATGTGCATGAATTATATGTTAGATAATTGCTTCATTTAGTCAAAATTGGTGGCTTAAAGGATAATTGACATTCTTTCTTCTTGGTTAAGATTTGAGAAGTCGAAGAAAGAGGAGAATTTAGAATTGAAATCTCTACCTCCACCTCCTTTAGCCTCTATAAATAGATGTCTCTTCTCCTCTTTTAATTATCCTATCCATAAGAGAAAAATTATAGTTTGGAGAGAAGAAAAATGTTCTAGGCTATTGAAGTTTTTTTCTTTGTATTACTTTGGGATTGGATTGGTGAGTGAATTTTATATGATTGTAACAATTTTTCATATAGTGAAAAAGTTTTGATCGTCCAATTGTGCGTTATATTATTTATTTTTATTTGTTTGCTAATATTTTTTCTGAACACAAAAGATCCTGCGGGTAATAGGAAGAAAGGAAATTGGCGTAAATTTCCCAATTTCCCAACAAGTGGTATCAGAGCGTCAGGTGCTTCAGAGTATTGGAGCAACAGAAAAATGTGTCGTTGAAATATGACGTTGAGAAATATGATGGAAGAATCAATTTTGGCTTGTGGCAAGTACAAGTCAGGGATTTATTGATTCAAGCTGGATTGCACAAGGCTTTGAAAGGAAAACCAACCCAGAGTTCTGACAAGGAAACTGGATCCAGTATGAGCGATGATGATTGGGAGGAATGAGATTTGAAAGCTGCAAGCATGATACGTCTTTGTCTGGCTAAAAATGCTCTTGCAAATATTCATGGGATATCTGCTGCAAAGGAACTATAGCAAAAGCTAGAAGAACTATATCAAACAAAGAGCCTCTCAAATCGGTTGTACCTGAAGGAGCAATTTCATTTATTGCACATGGAGACAGCTACGAAAATCTCAAACCATCTGAGTGCTCTCAACGGGATTGTTTAAGAACTGGAGAGTATTGGAGTGTAAATAGATGATGAGGATAAGTCATTACGTCTCATCTGGTCTCTTCCATCTACCTATAACACATCAAACCAATCTTGATGTACAAGCAAATTGATTTCAGAAGAAATAAGATTAGGCAGTCAGAATATTCCTTCTGACAATGTAGCGCTTGTGACTGAAAAGTGGAAGACGGGCAACTCCATGAAGAAGAAAGTAACTTGTTGGAACTGCGGTCAGGCTGGTCACGTGAAGAGAAATTGTCCAAAAAGTAGAGCAGGATCGGCTAACTGCTTGGGGTCGGACAATGCATCTCTCCTGGCGGAGGAGGACGTGATGTAAAGTAATATGAGAACATCCTCATGGCATGTCGTAAGTTGCCATGATAGAGGATGTGTTATTACTGGCGCGGATCAGCATATTTTTGTAAATGTTGATGGCTGATGAGCTCTTTGGGAAAGTCAGTGGAAGAGTTGCACCATAATTATCAGCAGGTTGTTTCGACATGTAGCCGATGAATTGCTTGGAGTTTGCGAATGATTCTGAGTGGTTATACTAATATGATGGAGTATGGGACCGTTAAAGTGTGTCAAAGACTTACAAGGTTTTTCAAAGTATTGTGATTAAAAGTTGTAGAAGTGATGACAAGATTTTGACTTGTTTTCGGTAAGGTGGAGATTGTTTGATAATTGCCTCATTTAGTCAAAATTGGTGGCTTAAAGGATACTTGACATTCTTTTTTCTTGGTTAAGACTTGAGAAGTCAAAGAAAGAGGAGAATTTAGAATTGAAATCTCTACCTCCACCTCATTTCTTCCACTTCCTTTAGCCTCTATAAATAGATGTCTCTTCTCCTCTTTTAATTATCTCATCCATAAGAGAAAAATTATAGCTTGGAGAGAAGAAAAAGGTTCTAGGCTATTGAAGTTTTTTGCTTTGTAATACTTTGCGATTGGGTTGGTGAGTGAATTCTACATGATTGTAACAATTTTTCATGAGTGAAAAAGTTTTGACGGTCCAATTGTGCGTTATATTATTTATTTTTCTTTGTTTGCTAATATTTTTTTGAATAACAAAAGATCATGTGGGTAATAGGAAGAAAGGAAATTGGCGTAAATTTCCTAATTTACCAACATTATATTCTCAAAACATGCATTTTACGTGTGTAGAATCGAACATAGTTTCGACTTACGAAAATAGGATTTTAGAAGACGGAATGATAATTACTGAAACCGAATGTGTGACGACGGATTTAATCATTTCCATTCTTCATAAAAAAAATAAAAATAAATCCTATAATCGAAAGAATGGTTAGTTTTTATTAAATCAAATCTCAAATTCAAAAAATCAGAAAATAGAATAGAAAATACAAGTGATTGAGTAATTGTTAATATTATTTAATTAAATATTAATAAACAATTTCGTTCTTACGATCGCTGATTGTCGATGTTGACTGGTCAACGTCCCCCTAGACTGAGTTTTAATGTTAGGTCCGCCACTGACTGTGAAAGAAAGAAAAGAATTTCGAATCTTGTCCAATTTATTATCCAGTACTACTTATTAAACATGTACAATGAAAAAATTTATGTCAAGAATAATGCTATTCAATTTCGCTTATGCTTAGCATCGATTAATGCGACTGTGAAGTCAATGAGATGCATTGGACAATGGACATGAACCCCACTCTCACAAATTGGTGTTAATCATGAGTAGGGTTGACCGTTGAATAACATTGTTCTTTTGATGACAGTTGTAGTGATTTGATCAAATACAAAATGGCATTCTGTTAGATTTCTATTTTTGTGGAGCATGGTGCCATTTTATATTGAAAGGAATCAAAGGATGTTAAGGGATTTTATAGAAAGATTATATTGTTTTGTTAGTGACCATGTTACCAAACTTTTCCATGTTTATGATCTTGCTACATGTACATTAAAATTTACATAATGAATTACACAATGTTACATGACATTTTACCTTTTGCTAATTTAAAATATAATCAAATTTTTCATCTAATCTTTTCCCTCCATATCATATTATGTAATCCGTTATGCACATGTGTTATGTACAAGTAGCAAAATCATTTTAATATTTGTATCAAAAGCTCTATCAAACGAACCATCAATCTGGTTAGTATACTAAAGAACTAGGATTCTTTTGCCAATACCAACTCAAGATAAAAGAATATACAAGTATAACATGTCAAAATTTTGATGATTTTGTTCTAATTAAATGGCAGAGATTCAGCTCTGTTTTGATTCAGTATGATAGTAAGTACTGTTTATACACAGTTCTTTTTTTGTACCCCTATCATTGTTCAGTATTGTATAGTCCACATCACAGAAGATAGCGTATGGTTAGGAAGCAGAAACTAGAAAGAATTCATCAGACTGAAGTTTACAGAAGTCGAGAATCATTCCATGACTATATGTGGTACAGTGTTACTTTTCATATTTTACACAATGAACCCAATAGCTGCCTTGTTTTTTTCTTCAGGTCAGGGGTCGCCTGGTCAGGTTTCATAAATACATCAGCAACTATCATCATTGAACATTTACATCGAAATGAATGAAAATATAAATGTTATTTACTTTCAATTTCCGTTGCATCAGCACCTGTTTAACATCACTCATGGATGAGTCGAAGGGAGTCGGCCTTTCAACGAGGGGGATTAAAAGATAGTGAATCAGCCTATAAATGGATAATACTTTATGATGTTGGAGCAGAAACTGATGGTGGAACTCGGAGGATTTGTTGTAGTAAGCGTGCTGCAAGACGTTGAGTAATTCCACCAACCACGCGCCCTCCAAAATTTCGTGCTTCAGGTTCTTGGAGTACCTGCTCATTGATGTTTCTCGAGTCAGCTCATCTTACTTCACTATTTTGATTACTTTGAAGTAAAAGGCAGCTACTGTTGGCTTCAAAAGTACCTCTGGTATTTACACATACCATGGTTCTATTTTTCATATCCACACATAATATGTGGTAATACCAAACACAGACCAAAAGTAGTGTATTTTTCAAAATAATTATCAATCACATTATTAAAAAATATGGACCAGCAACAGAGATTCACATTGTTGAAGAATGCTATAGGAACTATTATTTGATCGATGAGAAACTCTTTCTAAGAATGTGAATGTCTGTAACAGAATTATTTTTGTAAACAGTATTATGGATATAGTTCTTTTTGTTTAAGGGAACAGAGCAACTTAGATTCTAGAAAGAGATTATCATTGACATAAGAGAGAGCTAAGGTATGAGGCAAGAATTTTATCATAAAACATCAATTGAAGAAGGGAAAAAGTAAGTTGTAGTATATATAAAAAACAACTGCTACGTAAGTGGAATCCTAAATCAAAAGAACAGCATAGGTGGATAATATTCTATATATATATATATATATATATATGAAAAAGAATATGACCACTTGAGAGGTTTGAAATTCTAAAGTTCCAAAAGTTATATTATTAAGGCATATCAAGACATATAAATACATTTCTAAAGTATAATCCGTCGAAAAAAACTACATTGACCATTTATTTTCGATTATAAGAAATCATATTATTACTAATTTATAGGTCTAGCAGTTTTAAGAAATCAGAAAAGACTCGTCAAAATGAAATATAAAAATAACAACTAAAAAGCACGTAATTAGTGTTTTACCTGTAAAATGGGCAGCAAAATACTAGGATCAAAGTTCTCTGAGGACTGCAGTAACCTCCATATCCTAATTACTTGTGCCCTAAGCTCCAACATGCTTTCTTGATCAGCAGTGGTCATTGCAAATGGACCCGTTGCATTGCCATTGAAAATAAGAGTCCTCATAAGCTCATTAACAGAGTTGTATGATTCAACTACAGAGCCCAGGACAACAGCCTCAGTGACACGAACAGCCTCTTTAATCACTAAAACCCTTAGTTCTTCACCGTCTGGACCCAATAATAGTTTGAGGACAGGTTGTAAAGCATCTTTAGCAGAAAAATCTCTATCTTTCCTTCCCTGAACTAGCAGGTTTTCAAGTCTGTTCCACCTGAAGCAAATGATGGATGTTTTTCGTAAATTTGACCAATGGCACAAGTTAGAGTTACTCTTCCAAGTCCCAATCACAGTTCAGAAATATGAAAAGAAAAATAAAACAGATATATATACATGCCTGAATCTCCCGTCCTTGAATAGCAACTCAATAAGAGCATCTCTCAGATATGGATTAGGATCAGTAAGAAGCCTTTTAGCAAAATATGGATATGATGCAGCCAGCACTTTAAAATTAGGGTCAGCATACAGTGCTAACCCTTCCAGAACAGTAAGTGACCTTAAAATCAATGCATAATAAGCTGGAACTGCAAAATTAAATTAAGTAGAAGCAGCAGCATCAGCATCAGTCAAGAAGCAGATAATTGAATGTCAAATATAACTGTTAATGTACATTAAACATTATATGTTTATAAGCACGAATCTCATCTAATGTGTCTGTAAACTGTCACTATAAAAGAAGGTTGCTCAACAGATGAAAGATTTATGATATCAAACAAAACGGCAGCTGATTTAAGGACTAAGGCTACTATAGCCTTGGAAAAAAATACAGCACGAAACAGGCAATAGTATTGATGGGTTGATGAATTAAAGGAAACAAGTGGCTCACCATTAAATGGATATTGATATAAAACAGCACCCAAACCATCCACGATGGTTTTAAAGTTGAGCTCACTCACAGTCGAATTTAGTGCGTCATCAAAGAAGTTCCTTAGAGCTGGTACGATGGGAGATACATCGACGTCAGGGGACAAAAAGTCTAATGCATAATAATCACGAGCCATAGCTTCATAGTCTCGATTAACCATATGGACAACATGACCAATTATGGCAGATCTTGCTTCTTCGGGAGTTTCACTCATCATTCCAAAATCAAGAAAAGCGAGCTTCCCATCAGGTGTTGCTAAGAGATTCCCCGGATGAGGATCTGCGTGAAAATACCCATACTCAAGTAGCTGTCTAAGACTGCATTGAATGCCTGTGTTAACGAGATCCAGAACTTTGAGCCCCTGTCTCTCAATGGCATCTTGCTGATTTAGTTTGACTCCTTCAACCCACTCCATTGTTAGAACCTTCCCACTCGTGTAGTCCCAAAAAATATCTGGGACAAGTACATCTTGTTTGTCAGCATACAACTTTTTAAATCTCCTTGCATTCTGCCCCTCCTGCATAGACCTCTCAAAATTAACATTCACAACCAATAGCTTTCTACTTCGCACAGCTGAATGAAAGGGAAAATCTTACAAATCTCTGTGTAACAGAAAAGGTTCCACATTGATATTATTCTGAAGTAAATGCAAAACAGTATCAGAAACAAACCTGCACATAATTGAGCTCTTGGTAAACTCTTCGAGCAAATTCGTCAATAAGAGCAACAACATCACTTGTAATTATATCAACATATTTATTTATGAGGAAACCTAAACCTCTTATAAGATAAAAATCTAGCCCTATTGCTTCTTCAATACCAGGTCTTTGCACCTTCACAGCAACAACCTGGCCAGAGTACTTCAACTGAGCTTTGTACACTTGACCTAGACTGGCAGCAGCAATCGGAGATGCAGATATTAATGAATAAACAGATTCGAGTGAACGCCCCAACTCTCTCTCAATGCATGCGAATGCTTCATCATCTGGAAAAGTTGGCAAAGCATCCTGCTCCATCAAATTAGTAATAAGGACTATATAACACAAGAATCAAATAAGTACACATAAGTTTCATTACCCAGTGATAACAAACGTTTATTGAGAAAGTCTAAGAGCTTGTTTGAGAATGAATAAAATTCAATTAAAATTGAAAATATAGCCGTTATTGGTCCCACTCGTCTAATAAAAGTCAACTCCAACGGCTGTATTTTCAATTTTAACCCATACCAAACAAACTCTAAACAACATTCTCGAACAAATTATGCCGCGTCAAAAAAAAAAAAAACAGTGAGGAATTTGATCAATCTCTATATTCTCTAAGCATCACCTAACCATCGCTTTCGTCCCTGGTACCCACCCAGACACAGCTCAAAATTCTCTGATTCGATAGAAATGGAACCTAAAATTGAAATGAATTCATAAACAGGTATGAATAAACTAAATGCTACCTGCAATTCAGAGAGTTCCTCGAGGTATGCTGGTGGACACAAATCAGGCCTTGTGGACAAGCCCTGGCCAATTTTTACAAAAGTAGGTCCCAACCTCGTGAAAACCTGCCTAAGTTCAACTGCCCGCAATCTTTGGTTCCGATCGAGCTTCCCATCCAACTGGTCAAGCCACAGCTTAAAGGCAAAAGAACCAAGTCCAGAAAATATTTCTATCGCCCTCTGCACGACCTTGATAGGGCGCGAACCGTATTTGGCGGCTAAAAATTCTGGTGTATATATAGAAGCGTTAGCAGCGCGGGCCATTGCCCTGGCTTCTGCTTGCATATCATCAGCTCGGTCTCTGGAAGATAGAGCATAGGAGGAAGATTCCTCTTGAACTCGCAGCACAGTCCCTGGAACATTGTTGCCACCACTCCCGCCGCCTCTGGTTGCCGGAACTGGTCGAGGCTTCGACTCCACCAGCGCTGCTCGCGGCGATTTTACTCTCCTTATACAGCGTTTGTTCTGAGGAAAAATCGTACTCGCAGATTGCAGAACCAACGTATTCATCGGTAGGCGATTTGAAGTAGCGAAACTGCAGCGAGGTGAAGAGATTTCTCACCCGCACGGCGATTTGTGTGTATCAACACGATGATTTGTCGCTTTGTCGACCTCTATTTTTCTAGTGGATACTTTCGTGGAGTTCAAAAAACCGCCGAGTAATTTACAATTAAACATGCCCAAATTACTATGATGCAACTAATTTTTACCTAAGAAGCTTTACTCATACTCGAAGTCTCACGTTGTAACGTAGAAACTAGAAAATGAGCACTTCTCGTGACTTGCGTGCTGATTTAAAATAGTAGGCTACATTCAACATATCATGTTAAAAATCGAGAATAAGTCGCTTTAAATGTGAAGTTGTGTATGTCTGACCTTCATTTCTGAAAATTCATTTTCAATCATATATTTAACGAGATCTACAATTTTTTTCCATTTTTAATTGCACATTTTACAAAATTTTATGAAAAATAAGTATAAAAAATATAATTCTTAGCAAAACCAAACATGGGTTTATATTGAATTGTCGAAAAAACTTATCCCGACTCGCAACAAGCCTTAAATTAATAACAATTATTTAGGCTCCAGATCTCCATTATAATCCACTGGAGGACTGAAAAGTTATAAATCATTACAAATTTGAAATTGTAATTTCAATTATACATTTCAATGGTTTTATAAGTACTATCCGTTTATAAATTAATCTGTCGATAAATTCGTCGCAATTGGAGGCTAAAAGTATGTTTGAGAATTGTTTTAATTAATTTAAATTATAGATCGATAAAAACAAGTGATGAATAAATGCATACCGAATAATACTTGTGAATCTCTTGCAATTTATGGATAAAAAGTTATTGAAATTTTTATAAACAAAATGGATACCGAATAATACTTGTGGATCTCTTGAATTATGGATAAAAAGTTATTGAAATATTTATAAACATTTTATAACACGAGCCAAACATGTTTTAAATCAAAAGAGACGTTATGATCATTTTAGAAAAGTGAATATAATTTCGTAGAAAGAAAAATGAAAAATTAGTGGAAGTAAATGCAATAATGGAATAATGGGCTGTTTGGGCGGGATTAAAATTTGATTTTAATCTAAGCCAATGTCAAACAATCAACATTAACCACATATTTTGTGGGTCCCATATTTTTCAACCACACATTTCAAAAACTTCTATTACAATCCACTAAAAATTTAATTTTAATCCAACCAAACACCCTCAATGTCTGACGCTTGAAAATAATACTAGAATTTTAATCAATTAATCAATTCTCCATTATCTAAAATTAGTGGAAGCAAACGTGAAAATTCCAATGAAGGGGGGAATGGAATATGATTAGTCTAAGTGTACACAATCCATTACTTAATGGATTACACCCCCCTCAAATGGAGGGGGGCACACACAAAATAAAATATTGTGTGTGTGGCCCCCTCCATGCGATGGAGACGTAATCCATTAGGTAGTTGATTGGGTGTACATCTAGCACAACACGAATATGCCAATGGAATAATATTCAAATCTATGAAAGAACAAAATTTGTAGCCAATCCTGAGATGGGAATAATCAGATGAGACTTCCAAGTGTTCAAGACCTACATCAATGGATATAACCACTTAGCCATATATATCTAGGTTTTGTCCGCATTCACACTTGATTGATAAAGAAATTTTAGGACCAATATTGAGGAATTGATGGTGATTTTTAAACTTTACAAAAGATAACGTGATATGAGATAGAACGTGTTCACTGTATTACCCCAAATATTTTTACGCATTTAAAATTGGGAAGTGTTAAATTATATTATTTTATCTCTGACCGTTTAGAAAATAAAATCGATTCAAGTATCAGTCTTGTCGATAACATGTCATTAATGCTTCACGTAAAATGAGCAATATTGCTCGTTAGATCATTCTTATATCAACACAGAGAAGGATGGATCATTCCAACATGATGGCCAAACAATAATTGCTGCAAATTGAAGTTCAATGACTAATTTACCTTATAATTAGAAAAGTTAATTTTTTTTTTCTTATTTTTAATCTACATTCTTCAAAAATCGCTATTTTAAAACACATTTTTCCTCAAAGTAGGGTTCAATTCTATTTACCAAGTAAGATATTTTGGATCGAAGATAAAAAATGGATACCGAATAATACTTGTGAATCTCTTGAAATTTATGGATAAAAAGTTATTGAAATTTTTATAAACATTTTATATCACGAGCCAAACACGTTTAAATTAAAAGAGCCATCATGATCATTTTAGAAAAGTAAATATAATTTGTAGAAAGAAAAATGAAAAATTAGTGGAAGTAAACGCATGAATGGAATAATGGGCATGTTTGGGCGGGATTAAAATCTGCTTTAATCTAAGTCAAAGTCAAACAATCAATATTAACCACATATTTTATGGGTCCCACATTTTTTCAACCACACATTTCAAAAACTTCTATCACAATCCACTAAAAATTTAATTTTAATCCCACCAAACACCCTCAATGTCTGACGCTTGAAAATAATACTAGAATTTTAATCAATCAATCAATTCTCCATTATCTAAAATTAGTGGAAGCAAACGTGAAAATTCCAATGAAGGGGAAAATGGAATATGATTAGTCTAAATGTACACAATCCATTACTTAATGGATTGCACCTCCCTCACATGGAGGGGGGCACACACACAATAGAATATTTGTGGGCCCCCTCCATATGAGGGGATGTGTAATCCATTAGATAATTGATTGGGTGTATATCTAGCACAACACGAATATGTCAATGGAATAATATTCAAATCTATGAAAGAACAAAATTTGTAGCCAATCCTGAGATGGGAATAATCAGATGAGACTTCCAAGTGTTCAAGACCTACATCAATGGATATAACCACTTAGCCATATATATCTAGGTTTTGTCCGCATTCACACTTGATTGATAAAGAAATTTTAGGACCTATATTGAGGAATTGATGGTGATTTTTAAACTTTACAAAAGATAACGTGATATGAGATAGAACGTGTTCACTGCATTACCCCAAATATTTTTACGCATTTAAAACTGGGAAGTGTTAAATTATATTATTTTATCTTTGACCGTTTAGAAAATAAAATCGATTCAAGTCTCAGTCTTGTCGATAACATGTCATTAATGCTTCACGTAAAATGAACAATATTGCTCGTTAGATCATTCTTATATCAACGCAGAGAAGGATGGATCATTCCAACATGATGGCCAAACAATAATTGCTGCAAATTGAAGTTCAATGACTAATTTACCTTATAATAAGAAAAGTTAATTTTTTTCTTATTTTTAATCTACATTCTTTAAAAATCGCTATTTTAAAATACATTTTTCCTCAAAGTAGGGTTCAATTCTGTTTACCAAGTAAGAAATTTTGGATCGAAGATAAGTTTAGCGACCAATTTGGAATTTCTTTTCCTCAAAGCCGCCAGGTAAGATATTTTGGATCGAAGATAAGTTTAGTGACCAATTTGAAATTTCTTAGAAACTTGAGTGACAAAATGAAATAAATATTTTTGAGTGACGATAATGACATTTTTTTGAAACTCGGGTGACCTCCAGTGTTTTTACCCGATTAAAATTGCTTCTGTACCTATGAGAAACGTGAAAGAAGCCTCACATGTAAGAAGCGCAAAAACTTGAAACACGACTTCCTTCAGCTCTGCGCCTTACAGTCGTGTACGATCGTCGCCGGAAAACGGTCGTTTCGTTTTTCTCTTTCGACTGTGTAATCAGATTCGAAAATTCCAATAGTGGATTTGAGACGCCCACCATCAATCCACTTCTAATTATCATTTCTCAGCATAGAACATCAAGGTAATGTGACAATCAATCTACACTTGCTATATATTTTTCTTAAAAAATATGGAAAATCTGTAGATAATTGATTGGCGATCTGACTCTAACAGGTACTCCCTTACATGGCTTCAACTAGCAAGTCAAAAAGCATTGCAGAGGATGAAGAAGAGGAGGAGGTATGTTAGATTTCCATGCCGAAATAATTGGTGGTTTCAGATCATAAGTGTGTTCGTTTTGATATAATGTTTTTTATGGTATGCAGCTTGCGCGATTTGATGATTTTACTCTTGCCTCTTCGTGGGAAAGGTATGATTATCAACAGAGAAACCTGGTTTAAATCAGAGTTCTGAGTAGTTGCAAATTATATAATTTGACCAATAATGCGTATTGCGTTGCAGGTTCATTTCTGATATCGAGGTGGTTTGTCGACAGTGGTTGGCTGATGGTCCCCAGAACTTACTCGTATGCACCAAATTCGTTTTATTTGATCATTATTGTATTTTATGACAATTACACGATGAAGCTTCATTGGATTGCTTCTCTTTATGCATCTGAATTCAGTAGATAAGTATACTGAGATATATTTCTTGAACATGCTTGTTATTTCCATGATCAATATGTTGTTTTGCTTGCTGTTAACCTATCTTACGTGGACTTTTCCATTGAGACTCAATCATCTTAATGTCATTTCCCTATCCCCTATCTAATCTCAAGTAGTTTTAAGGAATCCATGTTGGGAATGGTGTATGGCTTATATATTCTTCGTTTCAACTTTCAAGTATAAAATAGTAGATTTTACACGGATATGACCCTTGGACACAAAATCCATATAACACAGCTGCTAAGAAAGGTTTAAACAGTTGATGAATAATTTTGATCTGGAACATTTGCAGGTAGCTTCTATCAAAGCTGTTCAGATTAGCTTGTTAGAGACACTGTAATCACGAATTATCTTGATTCTTTTTCTGATGACTCTGAACCTTGTATTGTATGTTTTCTTGATTGCTCGTCTTCATTTTACACTAGTTATCCTCTATTATTTGGTAATAGGTAAAGGGTGCTGTTCCAATGGATCTTTCAAATGGTTTGTACAAGGTCAAATCCGAGTTCAAATATGCTATGAAAAGCTACTGCATGGAGTACTATTTCCAAACAACTAATGATGGTACGTGATATACGCTATTGTAGCGAGCTGCAGGGTATTCATGTCTAGATTTCATATCTTAATTAGAAATCTTGTCTGTCCAGGAAAAGTAGCTGATTGGAATCAGACATTGCATGATCTGCAGCTCTCTTTTGGGGTGAAAGAGTTTGTGGTCTCTGTTTTCTCCTCTCTCTCTTCTTAAACAACAATATTTCTTTTGCTATTTCCTCTCTTATTGTGTGAATAATGTCAGGTGATTGCTCCACAAAGTGCAAGTGGAGTGGTTCTTGATTCACCAGAGGCCAGCAAGCTTTTGAGTGCCGTTGCCATTGCTTTGTCTAACTGTACCAGGTTCAGCTGTTTTCTTCTTGATTTTTCCATTGATACCATGAACTATTTTGGATACTTGTTTGATTCTCATTTTTAACTTTAAAAGGTCAAAGGTTTTGATGTAAAACAATGTGCATTTACTGGCTTTGAGACCATAGCTGAGGTTGGGCAAGAAGCAGAAGAAGATAGGATTCTGGGACTAACTAGGGTCTATTTTGTGGACATTTTGTTCTTATAATTTTGATGTGGATAATGGAAGGCCTACTTTTTGGAACTTGTAAAGAGGAAAATATGGAACTATTGAATAAATCTTTGGGTTGTTCCGGGAACAGGAAACAATTAAGGGAAGCTTTACTTTCCAGGTTCTTGATTTTCCGTGGGAGTGGGGAACTTTTGAGAAAAGACACGTGAAAAACATTACCAGGTTGATTATCAATGTGAGTTTCATTGATTAATGTCACGGAAATTTATAGGTAAGACAAGACGGAGAAAAATAAGAGTTTGAATCATATTTGCTTCAAACAAGTATATCAAGACTTAGCATGTTTGGTTGGTAATTATTGTGCCGAACATCTTTTTATCCGGATACGTAACTACTATCACTTATTATCCACACACCATAGCTTATATTCAATTGAATTATAATTAATCACCAATCAAACATGCATTCAAATAGTTCTTTAGAATTCTCACAACTGTTTCATATGGCAATCATTATAAGACTGTTTATCACCCTCGAAAACTACTTATATGACCATGGTAATCAGTTCACTTTCATAAACAAGTCCTTGTTTATCCTTTCAATTAACACGATCAACTTATATTGACTTAACAAGCCCATAATGTGAAACCTTCTATCCCAACCCCCATGCATTATCAAGGTTAAACTGTTGAGGTAACATTTTTTTCCTAACATGATATTTGTTTTGGATGTGCCCTCAACTCCATAGGTAGCAGCAATATTTACTATATCAATGGATCATTTTGTCGTGCAGAGTTCAGGGCATTGATTTAGTGGTTTGAAATTTAGACTTACTCCTTTGCATGCCAACTTTAACACTCACACTAGTATATATAGTAGTCTTCCAAACATGATGCGCAAGGCCTTTGATCGGTGGGCCTAAACTGATATGATATTTATGATCATCCTTCTATCTCCCATATATCCATTTTCTCTAGTTATTCACTATGTATATATGTATGCGTATTAATTTATATACACAAATGCACAAGCACACGCATCTGGATTTTATACTCACCCATCCCCCATTTTAGGAAAAAGAATATAATGACAGAGGTATAAATATGGCAGCAGAACACTGAATGAGGTTTGTATTATTTATAATGGGATCCTTCAATTTATAATTCTTGTGTTTCTTGAATTAAGAACTCTTACTAGTGGAGAGTTCGTTTAGTCTTGGGATTTTATGATGTTCAGGCAATCCTAACATTAGAACAAAACAGAATCATGAGTAAGATTGTGGAACAAGACCACAGTCGAGGAAGCACAGTAAGATCCTAGATTTTTTGGCTATCCTACTTTAGGACAGATGCTATCCGAGGATATTTATTCATAGAAAACCCAGTAGCTCAATGTCTTTCTTTATATGCATAAACAGATAAAGGCCAGATTGCTCGTGTTTGCAACTACTCTAGGAAACTTTTAACTTGGTCATGTTGCTATTAAAATATAATCATTTTAGCATTTATATTAACAATTTCCGGGAGTAGAATCTGAACCTTGACTTTGTTGTTGTCAACCTTCTATGTCTCAAAAACCAAGGTTGCTAAGAGTGCTCTACTCATTGACTTGTATTCTCATATGTGGAGACGTTCATGGTTTATTATTGATATTTTTCTGCTATCAACTAAATTATAATTATCTGTTTAACAGAATTCTGTAATTCTACAATGGAATTCTACTATTTGAGCCCACCACTGCAAAATGATCTATGCATGACAACTAGTTGTTGATCTCTTTTGTGCTTATAACATGCAGTTTGTGGCCAGCTTTTGTCCCTGTTCACGATCCTTCTCGTAAAGCTTATATAGGTATCCAGAATATGGGAACAGTTTTCACTAGAAGATTTGAAGCCGACCGAATCGGTAGCCAGGTCCCGATAAAGCTTATGCATTTGGAAGGATTATATGAGCTGTTTGTTTCTAAATTTGTATGTCCTGAATTTATTTATGTCTAGTTGTTTATTGTTCAGTCATAATTTGGTAATTCATTACATTTTCAAGGTTTTACAACTTATTGATATTCGTGATTGGCGTGCCTTCTTTTGCCTGTAGTCTTCTTTTTTACACGCTTCCTTTTCCAATTCATCTTTTTTGTAAGTGGGAAAGGTCAAACTTTGTATTCATAGTTTTTCTGCAACTTCATTTAAAGCTTGTGTTTTAGATATTTTATGTTGATTTTTAATATTACTCTGGTATGTTTTCTTTTATCTGTGAACATTAATAATTGCCTTATTTTCTCATATGATATTACATCGTCTTTTAAATCATATCTTGAAGGCCTATACCAAAATGGATTTGTCAATGCAACAATTCAAAATCCATTTTAAGATGAGGTTAACATACAGAACCCCTACGTATGACGATGACGAAGAAGTACATGAAGCTGATGCTGGTGTCAGGGAATCTGGCGGGAATGCTGAAAGTGAAGCTCGCAATAAAACTCAATGGGATGATGATTGTCCTTGGAGTGAGTGGTACACTACAGATGACCCAGTCAAAGGTAACCGTGCTGCTGCTGTCACTAGTAGCTATTTTGTTGTGCACTGTGGTGCTTATTGTCTTTAGATGTTTGTGCCCGTGGAGATAACTGAGATTCAAATGGATAATCAGTAGAAGTGACAGTATTTCCCTGTTTAAAAGTGGGTCATTGCAAAACCTCTCTGCGAAGATGATCTCATTGATAATCCATGGAGAGGCCAAACAGGAATGTCCTCAGATTTGAAAACATGTGCCCCCTTTCTATATGTTGGAAAGAAATTATGACAATCTAAATTGCTAGCTTATGGGAGCAGTGACTCAAATCTTGAACACTGTGACACTACCTATATTTGTACCTGAGCTCGTGCTTCCATTATCAATCCTTAAAATATCTCAAGTATATAAAACCGGGCAAGTAAAGTCCCCTAGGGTCTGAAACAGACATTGGAGTCTGAGATACCCCTAGAAGTTATAGGGAAAACTGCATTCATGGTCCCCATTGTTTGGGGCCTTTGTCAATTGATGTCCCGTTCTAATTTTTTTGGCATACTGATTCCCAAACTATGTTTTCAACACCATAACGGACCGGTCGGTTCAACCGGGAACTAGATGAAGAGAAAATTGAATATTTCTT